AAAAAAAATTTTTAAATCCTCACCAAAGGACGGGCTGGGAGAGAGGGAGGGAGGGAGGGGAGAGACAGAGAAGCATTCATGAGAAACATTGGATGCCTTCAGCATATGCCCTGACTGGAGATCGAACCCATAACCCAAGTATGTGCCCTGACCAGGAATCAAACCAGCAACCTTTTGGTGCATGGGATGCCGTTCAACCAACTGAGCCACTTTGGCCAGACCACAAGATTTTTTAAAACATGCAATACCTGACTATTAAGTCAGCTGCACTCCCCTCTTTTCCCTTAGATTGTAAAATTAAAAAGTGACAAAGCCAACACAATAGGGGTCTGGTGTGAATCAAAATTATACCTATTTTTTTTGTTAGATTGGCAAAATATGTATTTTCTGGTGTGCTGTAGAATTTTAGTAATTAGTTTATGTGTGCCATGAGATGAAAAGGCTGAAAATCGCTGACTTAGGGGATTTGACACAGAAAGATTATTACTGATACTAGGAAATCTGGCATTTTCTTTAAGGCAACACTTGTCCATCTGTACTATAAAATCACCAAATGACAGCTTAGTGGCAAGCAAGGTATAATATGACTCCTAAGCCTGGCTGGTGCAGCTCAGTGGTTGAGGGTTGACCCATGCACCAAGAGGTGACTGGTTCCATTCCTGGTCAGGGCACATACCTGGGTTGCGGGCTCAATTCCCAGTAGGGAACGTGCAGGAGGCAACTGATCAATAGTTCTCTTTCTCTCTCTCTACCCCTCTCCTTCCTCGTCTCTAAAATTCAATAAAAACATTTTTTTAAATATTAGAAAAAAGAAAATAAAATGATTCCTAAGTCAAAGCATAAGTCTAACCCTAAACGGCTACATCTTGAGCCATGACTGCATTATCCTTCATAAGATTAACATGATTTCCACTTAGGCATTTTTTTCTTCTAGTAACTATATGTAGGTTAACATCAAAAGGCTACCATATGTCACTAGAGCACCCTTATACATTATCCAAGTCAAATCAGCTTTGATATGGTTTATAAGATTCTGTTATTGAGTAACATCTTAGAACATGACAGTAGATATTTTCTTTCAAATATTTCTATTCTTGGTATATTTCAGGATGTATAGTTTCTCCTTGCTAACACTTATATTATGAATTTTTACTGTCCACTTTTAAAGGGTACCGAAAAGATATGCAGAGATATGCTCAGAG